ACTAGGGGGGATTATATCTACTAGACAATCAAGGATAGTGCCTAGTTGAATAGAAGGGTTTATGGAAATAGTGACCTCGGCCTCGGCACAAGCAAGCTCCTTGTGTATATTTCATAATGAAGAGATGTTAGCACTTGAAGAAGCCATGATACCTGCAATAAAGAAAAAGTCAACAATCAAAATAAGATCATAATAAACAAACCTTACGAATGGTAAATTATCTTTAAGATCCCTAAATGGTTTGGGTGATTTATGAAAATCTATTAATTTCCAATAAGGGGGGGGGGTTGAGGAAAAGTGTTTAAGAATGATAAATCTGAAGCCTTTTTGATAAAAAGGTATGTGGGTAGGAGCTGATCATATCAAAGTTGTTCACAAGTCCAATGTAGAGGCAAGAGAGAGTTTTCTTGGTTATCAAAAGTGTCGCGACGACAAGAGGGATGAATCCCAATTTTGAAAAAACTAACTTACATTTTTTTATAACAAAAGTATAAGGTTTAAGGAGTTTTTGGCTATGAATTCGAGACAAAGAGACCCATTTGACTTGTTCACTAGGTAGAAAATAGTAATGATGGAGAAATATACTAAAACTAGGCTTAACATGAGTGTATTTACAAAGGTTCAGAAATGCCTACATGACAACTCAACTATTAGGGTGAAGTTGAGTAGGTGCAACATTAAGAATCCTAAGAATACTGGTAAAGAAAAGATTGAAAGGAATAGTGGTGTCGGGGTCTTGGATTAAATAGTCATACATATAAAAAAAATTATGTGTCTTGAGGATTTTTTGAAGCAAAGATATGATCAGGATTCTTGTGACAGGATAAGAGACCTCTTTAGGAGGAAAAGTAGAAATTGTAACAAAGTTTACAAAATTTTCAAGAATTCTTGAGCCACTAAAATGTGAGTTATGTGTAGCAACTTCCTCATGTACCCACTCAAAACTTGAAAATGTTTTAGATTTACTATTGTATTTGGGGTCTAAACCATCAGAATGGGTCGAAGACTCAACCTCATCATGAACTAAGTCATCAATTAGGGCCGAAGCCTCAATCTCATTTCAGTTTGAGTCATTGACTAGAACCCGAGACTCAATTCAATAAGGGGGAGAAATACCATCAAAAGAAGAAGAAGATGAGGAGGAGGAGGAGGGGGAGGAGTGACTATTTTTATCTTGGAAAAGGAGGAACAAGAGAGTGCTCAATTAAGAAATAAGAAAAGATCAAGAGAGTGTTTGGCCAAAGAGAAGTATTTGCAAGGTCTTCTATCTTAGAGTAAATAGTTTGGTAAAAATGAACAACTATTAATAGTTAGGTAAAAGAATGAAAGGAAAGTTGTAACCATTAGATCAAAGGTATATCAACGGATGATATCAATAAACTCTTCATGTAACACCCTAGGATTTTTTTAATAATTAATAATGACTAATTAGGAAGATAATAACATTTTACTTTATTTTATGGTTAATAGTTGTTATTTTATTTGTTTTAATTGATTTAATCATTAAGAGAAGAATTATATATAATTAAAGATAAAGGGGTTTAGAGATATAGGTAGTTATTTATTAGAAAAGAGGTAGAGAAAGGCTCATTTTTTTATCATCTTCACATTCTTTGATGCTCTGGTGCTCTAAAGAGAAAGCATTTGGAGAGCAAGGAAAAACGATCATCAGAGAGAAGACAAAGGCTTAGATTTCATATGTTGCATCACTCTAGCTAAAGGCGAGCGAGAACACTCATCTTTGGGAATTGAGTTGATGCATGAAGGGTAGAGGGATTGACTCCCAATCCCATAAGTGCTCTATTCGATGAAATCTTGTTTGCATTTGATGTTGTTTATCGAGTAGATTCTTAATATGAATTTTATTTGGTAATCTAATGCTTTTAATTAATTAAATTAATTAATTGAGTATTCTATAGAAAGGGGTTAGAATCCTAAGGGAGAAGAATTAATAATTTTTAGGGGTAAGAGTCGTAGACGTTTAATTTGATGAATTCATATTCAATGGTGGATTTTCTAGACGTAAAACAAATTTTGATTGATTAGAATTTTCATGATTGATTAATGTGATCTTTGTTTCAAGATTACTATTCCACTATTTGGTGCGTTTGGGTATTGGATCACATGCAGCACTAGACTCAGGTGCTCGATGTCAGGCGTGCCTTCATGTGTATAAAGCCATTGCCTAAACGTGTTCGCGCCGGGCATAGAGATGTTCACGTCGGACATGGAGATCCTAGGTACTCTTTGTCTCGACTTAGAGTTAGGCGTGGCTCATTGAGGTTGAGTGTGACCAGTCATTATCGAGCGAGGCTAGCTGATGTTGAGCATGACCAGTCGGTGCCAAGCATGACCAATTAGTGCCGGTGTAGTTGTAGAAACAAGTGTAAATGCCAGACATGGGTTTCTAAGTCGACGACTGTTAGGAGACTCTTTTATGATGTTTTAAATGATGTTATTATTATGTTGTTGACTAAAATAATGGGCCTCATATGAGTGGTGTGAGAATGACTTATTTAATGAATTGTTTAGACAATGGTGTTGATGATTGATTATATGATCATGAATTCGTTTATATGCTTGGTGAATGATGATTATTATCTTGATGGATGATAATAGATGTAGATGATTATAGATGTTGGTGAACGATGAACTATATGATGATCACAATGTATTTATATAGAAGCATTGCATGGTTATGACATGCATCATACTTGCATGATTTTGTGATTTTGGTGGGAACTTGATTCAGTAGTTCTAGTGGGAACTTGTCAGTGTTTTGGTGGGAACACTTATATGTTGGTAGCCTAAGGTTAACTCGGGGCTTAGGTACCAATTGTATATTCTTGATGATGATAACCAAGTATCCCATGCATTTAGATGTAGGTGCACACTGCATTGCATTACTGTGTATGTGTTTGTAAGTGTAATTGATGATGTTTACAATTGAAATTGACGTATTAATTATTGTTATTATATTTGTTATCGTGAAGGCAGGGGATATCGAGGGTTACAACCCATTCCCTATAGAGTGAGATTGTTCTCACTTCTTATTTGTTTATTGGTATATTTTTGTATGTTTTGCAGAAGAGGATTCTTAGTCTTTGGAAGAGTAGGGAGAGATCTAGATACATGTGGTAGCCTTGATGTCAATGTGACACTAGGACTTAGGAGTAGTTTTGGAATTATGTTATCTTTTTTGTTTTAGTTCAGTACATTCAAGTTGTAATTTAACTACTATTACTCCATTACTTATTCTTCAGTTGAACTGAGTTGCTTTATTTATGACTTTTAATGAGAATGAATTAAGATTTATGAGTCATTTATATCCTTATATGGTATCACTCTTGGGGGTAGATGAATGTTATCCTCAAGGAGTAAATTTTTTTTTAAAAAAAAGAGAAGACGAAAAGTTGTGATGGTTCACAGAAAAGGTGTGGATTAAAACAATGTTGTCAAAAAAGTTAATGTGATTACCAAACCAAAGGAAATGATAAATCCCTTAGTTTTTTTTTTTAATTAAAAATCTTAAAAGCTTGGGGCTTGTATACTTGGAAAGGGTTCTTGATCAAAAGGTAAAGTTGAATACCCCTCAATTCATGCTGAGGAATGAATGAACCTATGAGCAATTCAAAAGCATTGTTAAAGGTAATTAAGTAATCATTGGGCTTACCATTGCCTAGGTCCAATATGATTAGTATAAGTAGTGACGTGCGATGAATAAAAATTTACTTTTATATTTATTACAACATTAATTGTGTTAACTTGTTTGAAATCAAAAACTGACTTGAGCATTGAAATATCTTTTACAAATATCCTCATTTTTCGCTTCTCGAACAAATATGATCAAAGACCGCTTATTTTACTACAAAGAAAACAAATATAATCAAATACCGCTCATTTTACTATCAAAGACAAATAAAAACATATTTTGGACTCTTCAGGTAAGCACAACTAAAAGCTAAGAAAATGCTAAGGATATAGGTTATGAGGACGAGGATTTAGAAAACAAGAACTTAGAGTAATAAAATTACCTATGTATCCTTGTGTACATACCATATATATATATATTATATCTTTATCATCTATCTCTTTTAATATAATCTCTTATATATTTATTGTTAAATTAAATTTCAATATTATTTTAAAATATTAATAATTAAAAAATTAAAATAACTTTGAGTCAAAATTTAATTTATAAATTACAATAATAATTTCTTTATTTAACTATATTAATTTATTCTTAAATTTTAAATAATAAAAAATAATAATAATAAAATTTAACTATACTTACAAATTTAAGATTGAACCCAAAATTTAGAGATTTAAGAAATAAACACAATACACATTAATTCAACAAATATTATTAATAATTTTTAAATATTTTTATACAAATATAGGAACATGGATTGTCTTAACCTCTCACTAGTGTATATATTAAAATAATTATTTTCTATAATTTTTTTTGTGTAACGAAAAAAATATTGTAAATTTAATAATATAGATGTGGCTGTTTCCTATAGGTTACCAAATAAATATTTAGTTTATAGTACCATGTAGCATGTGGGTTAACAAAAATAAAAAAATATTTTATACATATATATAGACGTGGCTGTTTCCTGTCCGTGCATTAGGTCCAACCTAATCGCAGTGGATGCCCACACTCAGTTATTTTATTTTTATTTTTTCATTTTCCAAATTTCAAATAACTTCTGGAACATTCCTAAACGGGCATCATTAATCGAATGTGTGATTAAGCGCATTAATTAATCAAACTGCGGACACTAATCATTTCATAAAATAGCGCAACCGGACACGCGTCGCTCGAAGAAGGCACCTCGAACGCGACGCAATGGTCCCCTCCATTTTCCAGAAACTTCCACACTCTACCGGTTCCTTCAAGCATGCAATCCGCAGGTGCGGCCCTGATCGAGCCACGTGTCCCAATATCCACGTCGTCATCCGATGTGGCGCACGCTATAACCTTGTAATTGATACGCTGTCCTCAAACCTTTCCATTATTCTCAACCTCTCGTTTTCGCTTCAACAAACGCAGCGTTGTTGTCGTTTCGTTCTTCTCAGCTCACGCGGATTCTGTGCCTGCGTTTTGGAGCTTCCTCTCGTGGTTTTGCAGATCGGAGTTTCGTTGCCATGATTGAAAACGAAGATGCGAAGGTGGTGGAGGAGGAAGAGTGCTCGGAGAAACTGGTGTACATGTGGGGGTACCTTCCCGGAGCCTCGCCGGAGAAATCTCCGATACTGTCTCCGGCGCCGGTGCGTCTCTCCGATCCTTCGCTAGCCGGAGATTCCTGGAAGGACGTGTGCGGCGGTGGTTGCGGATTCGCCATGGCCATCTCAGGTTGATTTCTCAGTCCGTTGACTCTATTTTGACTAAAGACACGTCAAAATGTTAATCCACTTCGAACATATTCCAGATCTAAATTCGTCACAAATAGATCCTGGAACTGTTTTTTCTTAGTCCCGATGCATTCGCTGAAACCTGTAGAACGGTTTCTTGCTTTTTATTTTTTGATAAAATTTAGATATGGTTTTTTAAACCATTTTTGGTGCTGTATTCTAATCAGGAATATGAGGTTTTTATCTCGTTAATCTTCATAACAAACGTTAAGGCAAAAATTCACTTCTAATCGAAGAAAAGCATCAAAAGCAACTATAAGACTGTACTTAAGTTTTTGTCCTTTATTTTTTGCTTTTCTTTGTGTGAAATTACGCTAATTTCTTGCCGATTATTGTTTGCTTTGTCATTTTTGCAGAGAAAGGGAAGCTAATAACGTGGGGCTCGGCTGATGATGAAAGCCAGAGCTACTTGATATCGGGGAAGCATGGGGTAATGCAGTTACTGTTCTAATGTAGGGCTTGGTTTTGGTGTGAATTTATTGTTGGAATTGATTTTGCAACTTGTTCTGGATGCATGTGCTCTCTGAAGGAGATTCCAGGGCATTTTCAGCTTCCCACTGAGGCTTTAGTGGGGAAGGCTGCTGCCGGTTGGGCTCACTGTGCTTCAGTCACTGGTAATGCTTCTGGGCCATTTTTCATTGGTGGTTTTGTGTAGATGATGCAGTGTCATTTCCTTGTTTTGTAATCCCAGGCTGCTTACTGGATTGTAATTTGTTGATTTAATTTGCTTGGGTATAAATTTATTGAAATATGCTCTACTGTGATACTTCTGTGATTTTGATATTTAATTAGATTAATTAAGCTGAATGTTGCATAAACCCGAGCACATCGTTGTTGCTTATTATGGGATTTGGGTGTCCCGAAAAATGTCTAAACTTTTTTTCCAGCCCCATGAAATCCTTATGTGTATTTATTTGTATTGATTAATCGATAATTGATTAGGTGAATTTGACATTTGTTCATTCATTGGCTGTGTAGTTCTTTGTAACGGATTTTTAAATTTGACAAGCAGAATTTCAATTAATAGTTAAAGCAATAGTATACAGTGGTATAATATATGTAGAGACTTGAGAGAAAACTACAAAGAAAAATAGAATATTTAAATTTCTCAACATCTAATCCTTTTTAATGATTGATTAGGGTTACTTGGAACTCCAAAGCTAAGGTGAGAGAAATGGAAAATATTTCCGTTTTTCTTCCTTTTCTCCCCTTGTTCCTTCACTTCAATGTCTGGTTTCTCCGTATTCATTTCTACATATGAGGGACGGCTTACTACTGATTAATGAGGCTGAAAACTTTTGGTAGCCTGAAGCCTCTTCTCAAACTGAGGGGGAAACAACAACAGAATAATCAAGAGTACCAAAGTACGCAGCGGAAATAATTCTCCCAACTTGCAAAAACCAGAGAGGAGAAACAAAACAAATAAATGATAGAAAATAATTACAAAGAGACACAAATATTTTTAACGTGGAAAAACCTTCTCAATGTGAGAAGTAAAAATCCATGGGCATAAGCCAGTCAATCAAACTCCACTATGATCAAATTAGGGTACAAGAGAGTCTAATCAGATGTATAATCAAATGCTTACAACCAACTGATATATTAAAGCAACAAGGCTTTCCAACCGAATAATAAAGAAGAAGAAACTTCAAATTAGAGTAACTGTACAAAATTGATTTCTCTAATCACAGACGTCCAATACATGATCCTAACAGTCAAAACGAAGATCACCGTGTTAAGAACCTGTTGTCAAATTTCCTGCCCGATCCAACGGTAAATGAAGTGGGGATCGCAATTTTACTAAAACTTTGTGTGGGAACCAAATTTTTGCTCTTTTTCGCTCTTCTTTCTCTCCTTGACGGCTAAGTAATTTTCTTTCTCTTTTTTTTTTTTTTTTCTAAGAGACCCCTCTCCACTTAGTTTCTAAGTGAGACAAAATTTGGGCTTCTCAATTTTGGGCCTTTTCTCCACATAGGAAGGGAGTGCAATACCCAACAAATCTCCCCCTCACAACTATGTGGAGATAACCGTCAAACCGACGATCTCATAGCAAACTTCAAATTTTCCTCTTGGCAATGCTTTAGTTAGTACCATTATCATCGGTATGAATTTTAGCCAACTCCAACAGCTTAGCATCCAAAGCATTTCGTATCCAATGATATCTTACATCAATATGTTTCGACCTGGAATGGAAAGTTGGATTCTTGCCAAGATGGATAGCACTCTGACTATCAACAAATAAAGGATATTTGTCCTGCACAAAACCAAGTTCCTGCAAGAATTTTTCCAATCATAGCAACTCCTTGCATGTTTCAGTAATAGCAACTCTGCCTCTGTAGCCTTGATTGCCAAGCTATAGCTCCCCCTGCAAAGTTAATCAAATAGCCCGAAGTGGACTTTCTAGAATCAGCATCTCTAGCCATATCTGAGTCTGAGTATCCTGCCAAAGTAGGCTTATCTCCTCCAAAACAAAGCCTTAAACCACTAGTACCATGAAGATATCTCAAAATCCATTTCACAGCATTCCAATGCTCTCTACCTAGATTTGATAAGAATTGACTTACTGTATCAACAGCATATGCAATATCTGGTCTTGTACATATGATTGCATACATCAAACTACCCACCGCAGATGCATAAGGAACTCTGCTCATATGTCTTCTTAGCTTCATTTGAAGGACTCTGCTTAACACTCAATTTAAAATGAGCTGCAAGAGGAATGCTTACTGCTTTAGAATTTTCCATCTGGAATTTCTGTAATACCTTCTTAATGTAGTACTCCTGTGATAGTCAAAGCTTCTTCTCTTTTCTATCACATGTGATACTAATACCAAGAATTTTTTTAGCAGCTTCCAAGTCTTTCATGGTAAATGACTCACCCAGTTGCTTCTTTAACCTGTCAATCCTGGAAACATCTTTCCCAACAATAAGCATGTCATCAACATATAATAACAAGATAATAAACTCATTATCAAAAAACTTTTTAACAAAGACACAATGATCAGAAGTAGTCTTCTTGTAGCCTTGCTCACACATAAAAGACTCAAACTTCTTATAACACTATCTTGGAGTCTGCTTCAAACCATATAGGCTTTTTCTCAACCTACACACATAGTTTTCCTTGCCTTCAACAAGAAAACTATCGGGTTGTTTCATGTAAATCTCTTCTTCCAAATTACCATGAAGGAAAGTTGTCTTCACATCCATCTGCTCAACCTCTAAATCAAGAGTAGCAGCTAAATTTAATACAGTTCTAATGGATGACATCTTCACCACAGGTGAGAAAATCTCATTGAAATCAACCCCCTTTCTCTGTCTAATCCCTTTCACCACTAATCTGGCTTTGTACCTCAGAGATGTAGAATTACTTTCTTGTTTTACCCTGAAAATCCACCTGTTCTCTAAGGCCCTCTTGCCTTATCATGCAAGGATTTCATCTCATCTTGCATTGTATCCAACCACTGTTGCTTTTCTGCACTTTCCAAAGCCTCTTCAAAACACTCAGGTTCACCTCCATAGTCAAGGTCACATACTCATCAGAAGAATACCTGGAAGACGAGTGTCTCAACCTGTTGCACCTCCTAGGAGGGAGTTGTGGTAATTCATGATCATTATCAAGATCATCATCATGTACCATATCATGTTCCTCTTGAGCATCATCAAAAGGAACTTCTAATACATCTCCATACATCTCCATTCTGTTGATCATCAACATCACCATGTTGCTCATCATTCGGAGCATCAGTCTCAACATTATCCAGATTGTGAACAGGCAACCGCATGGGATTACCATCAGTCAAATTATTATCTTTCTCGGGTGTAGTCTTCTCCACCTTGTTAATATCTTCAATGGTTTGGTCTTCCATGAATTGCACATCACAGCTTCTAATAAGCTTCTTTTCAACAGGATCATACAACCTGTAGCCAAATTCATCCTGACTATAACCAATAAAGATACATTGTCTTGTCTTCGTATCCAATTTGGATCTTTCATCCTTTGGAACATGAACAAATGCCTTACAAACGAAGACACCAAGTAATCATAACTAGCATTTTTGCCAAACCAAATTTGGTCCGGCATCTCACCGTCAAGAATAACAGTAGGAGTGAGATTAATAACATGCACTGTCGTGTATAGTGCCTCATCCCAAAAATGCTTAGGTAATTTAGCATCTGAGAGCATACATCTCACCCTCTCAAGCAATGTCCTGTTCATCTTCTCCGCTAAACCATTCAATTGAGGATTTTTAGGAGGAGTTTTAGGAGGAGTCTTTTCATGTTTGATACCCTGCTGCTTGCAATAGACATCAAAGGGTCAACGGTACTCACCACCATTGTCAGTACGAATGCGTTTCAGCTTCTTGCATGACTGCCTCTCAATCAAAGCATGAAATTCTTTAAACTTTTCAAGCACTTGGTCCTTACTTACTCTGCAATGCATAGACCCATAGCTTCCTAGAACAATCATCAATAAAAGTAACAAAGTAAAGTGCACCACTAAATGACTTTACCTTCAATGGACCACATACATCAGAATGCACCAATTCAAGCAACTCTGACTTTCTTGAGGGAGGATGCTTATTAAAGGATACTCTAGTTTGTTTACAGCCATGCAATGAGAACATTTCTCCAACTCTGCACTTTTCAATCCCAAAAACACATTCTTTTTAGCCAAGCAATTAAGCCCTTTTTCACTGATATGACCAAGCCTTTGGTGTCACAAAGATGCCTCAATATACATAGCATTCACACTGTCCTTAGCAACCAAAGCTTTAGTCCAATATAGTTTAGAATTTTTCTCCCCTCTAACCACAACCAAGTTACCTTTAGTGAGTTTTCACTTTCCAAAACCAAAGTGGTTATCATAACCACCATTGTCAAGCATCTGCACAGAGATCAAATTAAAACGAACATCAGGAGCATGTTTGACTCCTCTAAGCAACAATTGCATTCCCATGTTGGTTTGCAGGCAAACATCACCAATACCAATCACTTTAGACACACCATCATTACTCATCTTCAACACTCCAAAATCACCAGAAGTGTAAGATGTGAAGAACTCCTTCCTTGGTGTAACATGCAGTGTAGCACCACTATCAACAATCCACATGCTCTCATCTGATACAAGATTAATAGATTAATTAACCCATGGTTACTGAGAATAACAAGATCACCACAAGTAGCAGTAGCAACACGATCATCATCATGATCCTTCTCTTTCTGCTTACCTTTCTTGCCTTTGTTCTCCTTTTTCCATAGAAAACAATTCTTTTGGATATGTCCAGGTTTATTACAATAATAACACCCCACATTCTTGTATGTTGACTTGGACTTGCTCCTGCTCTTCTCTCTGCTACCCTTCAGTTCTCTTTTCTGACTTCTCCCCCTATTTTCTATGATAAGTACCTCAGACTGAGATGAAGAACCCTGTGCCTTCCTTCTCATCTCTTCATTAAGAGCACCACTCTTTGCCGCTTGCAAAGAAACAACACTATTAGGGGCCAAGTTGGTAATAGAAATCTGAAATGTCTCCCAAGACTCAGGTAAAGTATTCGGTAGCCATAGTCCCAAAACTTCATCAAATTTGATACCCATACTGGATAGTTGATCTAGGAGCCCTTGAAATTCATTCAAGTGATTTGAAATGGAAGAACTCTACCTGTACCTCAAATTCATTAGACAATTCAAGAAATATAATTTATTATTCCCTGATTTAGAAGCATACAAGGAGTCAATCTTCTCCCATAAAGCTCTAGCATGTGTCTCATTTGCAATGTGATTATAAACATTGTCTTCTACAAATTGCCGAATAAAACCACAAACCTGTTGGTGCTCACAGTCCCATTCTTCTTCAGACATAGAATCCGGCTTTTGAGTAGCAAAGACAGGAAGATGCATTGTCTTCACAAATAGCAAGTCTTTCATCTTGCCTTTCCACAAATGATAATTTGTACCATTCAAAGGAACCATTTTTGTATTTGCCTTCATCATTTAAGCAAGTAAATATAGCCCCAAACCAAAGAGCTCTAATGCCACTGTGATGGGGGAAACAACAACAGAATAATCAAGAGTACCAAAGTACGCAGCGGAAATAATTCCCCCAACTTGCGAAAACTAACGAGGAGCAACAAAACAAATAAATGACAGAAAATAATCACAAAGAGACAAATATTTTTAACGTGGGAAAACCCTCTCAATGTGAGAAGTAAAAACCCACGGGCACAAGCTAGTCAATCAAGCTCCACTATGATCAAATTAGGGTACAAGAGAGTCTAATCAAATGCATAAACAAATGCTTACAACCAACTGATATATTAAAACAACAAGGCTTTCCAACTGAAGAATAAAGAAGAAAAACCTTAAATTAGAGCAACTGTACGAAATTAATTTCTCTAACCACAGACCTCCAATCCACGATCCCAACGGTCAAAACGAAGGTCACCGTATTAAGAACTTGCTGTCAAATTTTCAGCCCGATCCAACGGTAAATGAAGTGGAGATCGCAATTTTACTAAAACTACTCTGTGTGTGGGAACCAAATTTTTGCTCTCTTTCTCTCTGCTTTCCAACTGTAGAATAAAGATGAAGAAACTTCAAATTAGAGCAATTGTACAAAATTGATTTCTCTAACCACAGACCTCCAATCCACGATCCCAACGGTCAAAATGAAGATCACCGTGTTAAGAACCTGCTGTCAAATTTCCAGCCCGATCGAAGTGGGGATCGCAATTTTACTAAAACTGCTCTGTGTGTGAGAACCAAATTTTTGCTCTGTGTGTGTGTCATATGATTTTTTATGCAAAATTTAATTTTTAATATTTGAGAAACAAAATTATAAATTAAACCTTTTTAATCTAAATAAATTTATTATTGAACTTGATTGTCTACAATGCTATTTTGGGTAAGTGCTTCAGTTGATTGAAATTACGTTTAAAGAAATGGATTTGTGTCTTAACAAGATACAAGGGCAATGTAGATTAGAGGGAGTTATTCACAATGAAGGCAAAGTGGATAAAATAAGATAAAAAAAGTGAGTGAATGTTCAAAGCTTAAAACTGTCTTGTTGAAGTTTTGATAACTATTGGAAATTGAGCATAGTGAAAAAAAATATTTATGCATAGATAAATGAGGAATAAAAAGTAAAGCTAGTTCATAATAGTTATTAATAAAGCAGTAGTTGTTTGAAGATTGTAAATGAAAGCAGGGTATAAGACTGAATAGAATAATAGCCATTAGAGCAGGCTATAAACTTAGTAGACTATGAATAAGATTGAGCAAACTATGCATCAGATTGAGTAGACTACTCAACAGACTGAGCAAATGATATGAAAATAATAAGGGTTGTAAACTATAAACCTGGATCCTTACATAAAAGGATTCAAAATTTATCTGATATATTTTGATTATGAACTTGGTTTTGCACACAAATGAAGTGTTAAAACAAGAGCTTACACAGGAAATATATGAAGCCTCTCATTGGGAAAAACAAAAGTAAATTATTATTAAGCTAAAAGGTAAGCATTACTTGCTTTCACCTATAATTTGCTTTTTTTGAGCATAGGTAACCTTTAACCAATCTCATAGAAAAATAAAATACTGTAGAGATGTTAAAATATTTTATTATAGCAGTTGGAAAAATCTCAACTTTCAATAAGTTGTATAATAAGAAGTAAAGATGAGAGATAATAAAGGAGTAATATGAGGCATTGAATCAGGAAAGTGAGAATATATGTGCGTCTTTTTAATTATTTTAACTAATAAAATCAATTTTTTAAATATATTATCATTAAAACAATTTGAAGCTTTTTATACAAATCTAGTAGCAAAAATGCAGGATTTAAAGCACAAGTTTTAGTTGACTTACACAACGATGTTAATTAAAATGGGATTTGTAATTTTTTCTTGCCTTCAATGAGATCTGAAACTGAAACCAAAATTTATATATGAAAACTACAGAAGCAGATGTATGGCATGAAAAAAATATTTTAACAGTTTGTAAAGCATATATATTACAGAACACCATGTTTTAAATGATGTATATAAAATTTGGTTTGAAAGTTCCAAGTGTCGATAGATGGAATATGGTTGTAAAGTTCAATGTGTCATTAGCTTTTTCTACATTGGCCTTATAGTGCTACCCTTTAAAGTTTTTAACTAAAGAATGTACATACCAAGTTAGCTGTGAAAATTACTCCTTCGAGCCCTTATTATAAGATACAATTCAGAAAAATTGTTGGTCCCTTTTATAAGGCACTTTACAATTTCTATAAAACATTAATTTTACTTTTCGTTTTTTATCCCTATTAAAGATTGTGAGAGTATGTGCTTCTATTTCACATTTTAGACTCTCTAATTGTCATTTATCATTCTCATTGTTATTGGTGTTAAGTTTTTATATGGAGCAATATCTTCACATCTCTCATGGAAATTTAATGATAATTAAGAAGGTTAAAATTGGTAGCTCATTATTTTGTTTTATAAACTCAGTAAAATGAAACAACATAATTACTTATATTAATCCATGTAATTTGGTTAAAAGTTCCTTATAATAAAGATTGGAGGAGTATTTTTTAAGGGAACAATGAAAATGTACCATGGTTAGCCAACAATATAATAGAGGGATTATATGGGAAAAGAACATAAACTACGAGGACTGGATTACATTTTTGAAAATGTGAAACAAAATGGGAAGCTTTTGATATCTAGAAGGATCAAGAACATATTTAATTTTAATTATTATTACTTGGTCAACTTGGCGTGTATAGAGTCGCCTCATGGGATACCCTGTGAGCAACGGCCAATATATAACACTAATGCTTTGCTAAGGAATATACTGCTTCATGTTCAGAAGAAGGTGAAGTGTATGCATGGGGCTGGAAAGAATGTGTGCCTTCGGGGAAAGTTATTACTGATTTCATCACTGTGGGAAGCCTTCAAAAGGATGTTGCTGGGAAACAAAGTTCATCAATAGCTGAACAAGGTGCTAGTCATCATTTTTGCACGTAACAAAAATAATTTAACGAAAAGAGAGTTTTCTGATTCCATTTCAGGGAGCTAATGGAATTTCAGACATTAAACAGGAAGCCCACAAAGCTCAAACACAAGCAGTGGATCAGATTCTCATCATGAGAACAAGAAAGTGGGAGATGAAGCTGTAAAGCGTAGAAAGGTCTCCTTTTCTAAACAGGATTCTGACAGTCAAGCATCTGGAGATGAATTCTTTACTGTGTCCCCTTCTATTGTGACCCTTGGTAATGGAGTGAAAATTACCTCTGTAGCAGTTGGTGGGCGGCATAGCTTGGCACTGTCAGGTAACTCAGTTTGTGTATATCTGTAGTGTACTATAATGATTCTGAGATTCTAGGGATAGTTGGCTCTTGTGGTTACCTTATATAGTTTTGTAGGTTCAATGAAGTATGAAGATATGGAAGGTTTTTGATGTAAAGCAAGACACCTGATGCATCATATTTTTACCGAAGTTTTCAGATGTGGGACAGGTATGGGGTTGGGGCTATGGAGGTGAAGGACAGCTAGGATTGGGTTCTCGAATAAAGATGGTATCATCCCCTCATCTTATACCTTGTATTGAGTCTGCTTCTGGGAAGGATAAATCATCAGCTTTTCATCAAGGAAGTAGTGCTGGAGCGCAAGGGTCAAATGTTCCTGGAAGTTTTGTGATGGAAATTGCTTGTGGAGGTCGGCATAGTGTTGTGATAACAGGTCAGCATTTCACTGCTGTTGTGTAGTCTTGCAGAGACATCTCTGAATGTTTAAAAGATTGTATAAAAATTTGTGTTATACTACAAAGACAAAATTCAGTTTGAGAATTGAAATCATTTATCAAATGTCATTATTCAACTAATGTAGTCAAAAGAGATGCATGTTTTAGTAATTGATTTAGAAGAACAGTCATAATTTGCAACAGTTTTTAAAATTCCTTTTGTAGATGCTGGGGCGCTTCTTACTTTCGGATGGGGTCTGTATGGCCAGGTGAGTCCGTCATTGTAGGAATCTTTGAATATTCCCGTCTTCATTTTCTACCTAGATGAAAAACATTTTATTTCTGTTGCTAAAGATATGATAGAGCTTGCACGCATTCAAAACACTCACATTTTGATTATGTGTTGCATAGGCCAGGGGACGCACAAAAAATAATGATTGCTAATGTTAGGTTGTTATTTGGAAATAATGTGTTATATTGCTTGAGTATAGTCTTAAACGAACTAGAATCGTAGTATTGGCATCTAGATATAGAGTTAAATGAACAAGGATTTTCAAAGAAACATGGGTGAACTATTTTTATTTGTTTTCAAATGGTGGGTAAAGATTGACTTATTAAGGTAGAATTAGTTGGAGATGTAAAAGAATATTGAGGATAGATAATGGTAAAATTGTTTGTCATGATGATATTCTTATTGAAGTTTGGCAATGAGTAAGAGAACATTTTTATCATTTTTTTCACTTGTTAATGAGATGTTAAATCTAAGATAATGTCAAATGAGTGAAGAGAAATATTTTGGTTCCTATATATAGGAACAAGGGAAATAATTAGAATTATGTAAATTACATAGGGACAACACTTGTGACTTACACTAGTTAAGTTAACATCAAGGCTGTCTTAGTTTGTACTTGTTTAATTTAGTTTTGTATTTGCTTGAAGGGACTGACAAAAGGGTAATCCCTAAATGTATGTCTTTATGTGAATGATATAATTTTGATTGAGGAATCAAGGAAAGGAGTTAATTTTAAACTTAAGCATAGTAGAGAAATATTGGAATTTGGAATCAAAAGTTTTTTGACTGTGTAGGAGCAAGACAATGAATATGCATTTCAATTTTAGCAAAAAATAAGAAGAAAATGACATGGAGGTATAAATTGAGAATATAATACCACAGGTTCCTAAGATTAACTATTAGAAAAATGATGAGAATATTGGAGACTGGAGAAATTAATGTAAATAATCTGACCGTGGGCAATATTTTCTATAATTTGGATTTTAATTGATCTCAATGACGTTGTGTGATTCATTCATGTAATCAACTTCATCTAATGAGATAAGGCTATTGTCTTTGTTATTATTCATTAATGTGGGGAATGAAGTAAGTAGCTTGTGACAAAAGTAGCATTAGAAGTTCTGTTTTTATTTTTATGTTTTTTGTGAACAAAGTCTAGAGTGTGTTATGGTATAGTCGAGGGGGCTTGCACTGCGAAATTGTGGGAAAAGGTGCTCAAACTTATATTAAGAGAATTAAGAGAATAGGCCAAGATCACGGAGAATCAATTTTGATTTATGCTAGAAAGATCTATAACAGGAGCTATTTATCTTATGGGTGTTGATGGAAAGGTACGAAAACGAAGAAAGAGACTTGCAATCTTGCATATGGTTTTTATGTTATTACCTTGGAGAAAGCATACGATCAAGTGCATAGAGAAGTGATGTAGAAAGCTTTGAAAAAAGGTAAAGAGTGTTTGTGTGACTTATATCTTGGCTATACAAGACATATATGACGGGATAACTATCAGTGTAGAACTTCTGAAAGCAAGTCTAAGAAGATCCTTATTAGGATTAGCAAGGTTGTCAAACTTAACTAGTAAACACTTACGAATTGAAGATCTTAAGCAAAGAAAACAAGGTAATAAAAGAAAAATGTTTTTCAGATAAATTCAGGTAAATTCCTTAAGCTCATGTAAACTCTATAAACACTCGATTCAAGAATCGAGTTTGAAATCAACTGAAATCGTAGTGTTTTACTATAACTCAATTGGTTTGAAGAAACCATTTCCTTTTTAAAATATTTTCACTTTAGGAACTATGTTTTTATGAAATTATATATAATTTGATATTATATGTAGTTTAATCCTAATTAGTATTAATGCACTATAACACTATATTATTGTAGTTTAGTACTTTGTCTTTTTATGGAGTTGAAATGTTGAATTACTGTTGTAGTATTAAGAGTATTATGTTATGCATTTATATCATTTATAGGTTTTTTTTTATGTTATCTTTATAGTAAGTAGACTCTAAAGAGTAGAGCCTATGATTCATGTCTACATAAGCTCCATGAGATTAAGTTTATAAAGTTTATTACAAATAAAAAACTAATTGGTATTTTGTCTCAATGCTTTATTTTAATGGATTATGTGTGTATAAATATATATTATTTAAAATATAAGTAAATGTTCATTGCTTCCAAATTATGTAAAATTTTATATATACATGATTATAGAGAAAATATCAAATGATTCAATGGGAATCAAACTCGCTATAAAGAGGTTTGTTGCACTCACGCAGCTACTCAACCAACATGAAACCCCATTGGTTGTAAGAGTGTTAATGCTACTCTGTTTAATGGACATTTAATTCACTGATTCAATTGTAGGATGAAAGGTCTCATTAAGTACTAAAGTTTAGAAAATACTATTTAATATTAATTATATTTGATTTTTTTTCGAATCAGCCTCATTTTAATTTATAACATTTATTCTTAAAACAATAATAGATGTTAATAGTAAATAGTAAAATAATATACAAATGAATGTTTAATATTTCCAAATTTTGGTATGTGATCATAAAAATTTATCATTTGGTTTAAGAGTTAGATTTTATTCTATAAAAGTTATTATCTCTCTCTCTCTCTCTCTCTCTATATATATATATATATATATATATATATATAAAATAAATAAAATTAAGATCTATTTACTCCAAAGAGTGTTGATTTTATTCCCAACAATTTTTCTGAGCATTTAATTTGTCTTTTTTTCATTAAGTTGAATTAAAACTTCTCATTTAGTAGTTAGGTTTATAAAATGTATTGATATTTCATGAATCAACTTTAATGTGTAACACGATAAATTTCAACTATAAAATTATGAATGTTTAATATATATCTAAATGTGGTATGTGCAAGTTTCAATAGTTATTCAATACCAGTCATTTAGTGGAATAAATTTCCAGGACTTATTTTGCCTGTGTTTGTTTGTGTCTAATGATATTATTATTAGACAAACTAATACTTAGGGTTAGGTAGGATTCGGTTACTACATCTGTCAAAGGATATGAATATGATAATAATTGAACTCTTCAAAATCTGTAATATGAGGATAGTTAAGAGTAGAATAAAAATTAAATGAAATTATAATATATGTTGCAAGAATATGGACTCGGAATTGTGCAATTTTTAATGATTGAAGGTGTGGTACGCTAATATACTTTTTAAATAAGAGAAAATGGTGTATGCAGACAGCGTAAAAATATTATAATGTCATTTAATGAAAAATTGTCATGTATGATAATTTTATTCATTTTTGCAATAATGACTTTTGTTTAGTTCATAATGTCACTCTTTTTAATATCGCCACTGCATAGAAATTAAACTCTTTAAATAATAATATATTGGGAAAATATATACTGGTTTTGATTGTTATGAAAAAACTTGTAATAAAAGAAATAAGAATAAGGGCAAAAATAAAAAGTAAAAATACCTAATTTTATCCCAAGTTGCAGTTAGTATCATCCGGATACAATCGAACCACGTTACTTTTTAAAATTAATTTTGATAGTATTGGTGCAAGTATGTTTTAGGAAATAAAGTATCTTGTTTAAGAGATTGTCGGGAAGTGTGTGTGAGATTTTTGGTTAAATGTCTAGAAAGCTTTGGATAATCAGAAAATATTAAATTTAGTTTTCTTTAGTCCGCAAGGCACCTTAAGATGTGTTGAGTTTCATATTGTTGTTATTGTCATCAGTCATCACGTTCAATCTGTGTTGCAGTAATGTGTTAGACTTAGACATGACACGACCTCTACTTTGAAGTGCCTTCTCCTGGCCTCAACTAGTCCTTTTGGTTTTGAAAGTAATAAATTTACTTCCGGACAATACAAATTCCCCAACTGGAGGAAATTACATTACTACCTCCATCTCCGCATATAAGATCCTTCACTTTTTGTTTCTTTATATAATATTCTCTTTTAATTATTAATTATTTTTTTAAAATATCCTTTTTTGATAAACAACTCTTTTAGACAAAAAATAATAATGCTTGAAATTAATTAGATAAAAATTCTCTCTTTTATTAAAATTGAAGAAGGTAAATATCTCTTTTGAAAATATTAATTAATTCAATAAGAAATGATTAAGTGAAAAGAGAGTAAATTAATTATGAAAAAGTAATTTTAATTATTGAGAAATTTAATATTTTTAACTAAACTAGTTTTCTTAAAAAGTGTAATTTAGTTAAAGGGTCTTATAATTAGGTAGTATTATTTATTTGTATTCTTGTAAAGCATATAAGTAACCTATCTGATTTTTTTTAATATTTTAGTCATACAAAGCATTTTAGTGCCCTATCTTAAATTTCTTCTGTTTTTGCACGTAAATTTTTTCTAGTGCGGACAAGGGAGTAATGCTGATCAGCTGAGACCAACTCTAGTTCCTTCTTTATTGGGAACTAAAGTGGAGAAAATTGCTGCTGGACTTTGGCATACATTGTGTGTTACTGTAAATGGTCACATTTACGCATTTGGTGGGAATCAGTTTGGGCAGTTGGGTACCGGTAGCGACCAGCCTGAGGTATGTTTCCCTTAATTGTCAGATTACTTTGGTTTCATTAGAAAAATATTGAACAAACGGAATGCTTTTGGAAGCTTTTAGATAAAATATTGTGTCCGATAGGACCCATGTGACATTAACTCATGATCTTATAATTGACACTAGTATATCTACTTAAGGTTGCTGCGTTTGGTGTCATTATTTAAAAAAAAAAAAAAAAAAGAAGAAAAAAAAGCATTGTTTTGTAGATTACTTCTGTAAGGCAAAATTGCAAAACTGATGTCTTCACAACATACTCAAGTTACCTGATTGGTGCACAGGCTAAAAACCAAATCCAATTCTTCCTGGCAAGCCTTTCATGTTGAAATTAGAAGGGTTCCAAAGTATAAAATTTTCATGAAATATAACATTTATACCTGTAGATGCAAATAATTTTTCTTTCTACACTTTTCTTGAATCCATCTGGAATTGGGCTGCTGTATTGTCTTCTGTCAGGCCCTGTTTTTGCAATAGGTGATCAAGAGTCTTTTGAAGCTCATCCTTTTTCTTAAGTTGTGCTGTGATTCGTTAGCGAGTTTCTTGATCTATGAAGCTCGATCAAGTCTCTTTGTAATCTCAGATTCTTTGCTGTCACAGTGTTGATCTTCCAACTTCCTTTTTCTCTTCTCTTTTCTTGCTTCAAGAAACTTTTAATCAATGATGTGGAGAATGACTACCAGTTTGAATCTGGGTTTTTTTGTCTTCTAAAGTAGAATCAACGCATTGCCACTCTCTCAATGCTCATGAAACATACTCCAAGTCATGGAAAGAGGGAATTTCTAGTACCCTCTGAAGCATGGGTAAGGAATACTTACCCGTACTCGTTGGGTACTAGGTATGCACCTAAAACATTTTTTTTTTTTATAAAAAAAGTGGATACTTAATTTGGGTTAACTTGGGTATGTATAATTGAATCCGTACTCAAGTCCAAAAAATAAAACTTTTATATATCCATAAAAAGTTAGGTTTTCCTTTTTTTCCTATTTGCTTTCAAATCTCAATTCCCATCTACAACTGACACGACACAACTCATTAACATGTACAACCTTGGCGATTCAATCTCCCACATCATTCACTGTACGGGCTTTTAATTAATCTCTAATGTCCAAACTAATTTATTCAACTTTTAGTTGATGTTTTCATATTAATTTGTTCAACTCATTGTTGATGTTTTCATTATTCAATTTTTATATTTTAATATTTTACACCTTTTATTTTAACAAAATTTTATTACAAATGTCTTTCCAACAATTTAATAGGGTCTGCAAGTGAGGGTAGAGATCATTTATCTTATGAAATAGCTAGGCTATTTTCTTCTGCTGGTTTTCCATTTAATATTGATAGGAATCCTTATTTTGTCTGTGCCTTTACATATATTGTTAACACTTCTATCTCAAGTGTTCTTCCACCTAGTTACAATGCTATAAGAATTACATTCTTGCAGAGACAGAATGTTCATCTAACTCTGCAGGAATGTAAGCAGAGAGAATGATCATCTAATTCTTCACATATAACTCATTTATCATTAGAAGCAGTTCTTTTCACAGATGATGAACAATGAAAGGGAGAGATTAAAATTATTAAAGTGTGATATTTGACAATAAAAGTGTAATATCATAGTTTAAGAGGGATATTATAATCATGTTTTAAGTGTTAAGATTTTTATAGTTGATATTATAGTTCAAGTAACAAGTTTCCTGTTTATTTGTGATTTTTTTTTTTATCATTTATACAATTTACTTAGATTTATATAATTAAAGATATATTTTTTAAAATTACATTAATTTACCCCTACCTTAGATATTTGAAAAATCATGTATCTTTTAGCCTTATCCGTACCTGGTACCATACCTCTATCCATGCAACACAGTTTGTTCAAGAGTTTTTCTGCTCTTGCAATCCACCCCATTCAGTCTGCACCCTCATAAAGACTGGCAGCTCCACCTTCTTGGCCCAAATATGTGTTTCCTGCATCACTAACAGTGGTTGTCCCTTGAAGATCAACCAAGTCGGACCAATTGTTAGGAACCACGAATTAGGAAAGAGAAAGAAAAGAAACATTTTATTGAATATATTGAAAAGAACACAAAAAATAAAGAGAAGTATTTCTTCCGAGGATTTCCCCTTTACAAAGAATTTCTTTTTTTCACAAAAGGCTAAAACTCAATTTACAAATGAACAGAAAAAATATCCCCATCCCCTCTCCTTCGGTACTATTTATAACAAACTAATATTCTAACCAAGTCCTCCTTCCCAAAGTCCTAGCATTTTCTTATTTATTAGACTAGTATTTCAGATTGAACTCTCCCCTTGTACTTAAACCCTAACAGGTTATGTTGTATCAAGTCTTATTGTCTTTTTGATTTTCAAGCCAATTCCCATATATTTCCTTATTCACTCTGTTAAAGATAGATTACTGTTTAAAAATAGTTAGAAATTATCTTTTATCCTCCTGATAACTAGTCATTTAACTTTTACTCGTTCAGACTTCACCTAGACAGTTGGATGCTTCCCGTTTTGAGAATAAGCATTCACGTATAGTTTCTTGTGGTGCTCGTCACAGTGCACTGCTAACAGGTATGTCTCCATTATCACATGCCTCATTGGAACCTTTAGATCCAATATTAGTATGTGCATGCTTTGATCATTCTATGCCTTATTCGCATTAGAGAATTGACAAAAAGGATTCGTGTCATTAATCATGATATGGTCTATATACTAATTCCATGACCTATGATGGTTCATGCACATCCTTCAATGATGAGACTACTTTGTCTTATCCTTCAAATAGTATATTTTATGTTTAGAGATCTTGACCAGAACCTTTATTTGAAGCCTCCAGGTTTGATAAAAAAAAGAAACATCATTATTTATTGAGGACAAAAAGTAGGTTATGTAAATTCTATGAAAAATTGAAAATTGAAGTTTGCATGTCAACAACTACATCATAAACTGTTTCATGTTACAAGTTCTTACTATCATTTTTGGCTGTTTATCATATTGAAGATGATGGTTCCCTGTTCACTTGGGGGTGGAACAAATATGGTCAGGTATTCTCAATATCTGAAGTAACTCTTTCAAATTAAAGCTCTGTTTGGACAAACATCTCAATAAGCACTTCTAGGAAACTAAATAAGAAATAATTAATTAAATTTCTTCTATAAGTTTAAGCCTTTTTTTTAACTCCCGAAAGTCGTGTTTGGACTATGCAAGTTAACTGTAACTTAAAGAAGAAACTTAATTTTCTACTCTTAACAAGTGTTTGTGGAAAAGTTCATCCAAACAGACAATAAAAATAATTATTGCCCAAGTTTAATTCTGATGATTACCTACCTGAACAGCTTGGTTTAGGAGATTCTAATGACAGAAATATTCCTTGTCAAGTTTCTATTGCTGGTGGCCGGCCAAGAAATGTTGCCTGTGGCTGGTGGCATTCACTGCTGCTGGCTGATAAAACCGTTTGACTCCATTTGTCCATTAGCATCATGGTGGTCGCACAATTTTTTGATAGGTCCCACTGACCAGTCCACATTTCACAGGTGGAAAGTAGATTTGTCCAAAATCACCCATCACAGTTGGTTTGTTTTCTACAACCTTCACTTTCTTCCCCTGTCTCAGCCTTTTAGTGCCTTTCCCTTCCCTAGCTTTCCATTTCTAGATTGTAGCTTGGAACTAACATGGACATGGAGATGCAAGGCTTTTTTAGTTTGCATTCAGACTACACAAGACTGTTTAATTATGGCTGTAATTTATAACGCCCTTATGTGGACGAGACAGATATTTTTCTTGGGAGGGGAAAACTTGGGGTCTTGTTTCATTCTATTCTGCTTATTCGATATGACTGTGTATTAGAATAGATGTATTTTGTGCTATGGAAGGTACATTATGTTCATAGACGCCATTGTGATTCCATTTTCGGACCTTGTGATGTGATCTGCAACTGGTATTAAGTATCGTTTTCATGGTATTCTCCTTGAGTTGTTTCCTAGTAAGTTATTTCATAGCTTCGTGTTTGTTGAAAGATGACTGATTTTGTTAATATTAACTTCTGCAACTAATTTTAAGCAGTTATAAGTGAAATATTTTTTTATTAAAAACTTTATTACATGTTATATTTTATGTAATAAATGTCATTTTATAAATAAAAATGTCACTATTACACCCATAAATAAAAATGTCACTATTACACCCATAAATAAAAATGTCCTTGAATTCCTAAGTTCAGCCTTGTTGTGGGAGTCTAGAATATTATGCATAATCTTAAGTTTGAATTTTAGGTTATTGTAATTTTGATGATAAAAATAATAAAAAAAATTGGTCCCTAACTTTGATATGAATTTAAAAATACAAAACTATAAAGTATTTCAAGCAATGTAATTTATAGAAGTCAAGTAAAATATAAATTATAAATTATATGCATGTTAAATGTTTAAAATTATGAAATTTATAGTAAAATTTAGATTTAAAAAATTCTTAATTTTTATTTAAATAAGCTAGTCATTTAAGAAAAAGTAGTTTGAAAATATAATCTTCACACAAAAACATTATACTTTTTTCTTTGTAATTTACCTTTTTCTTT